GACCTCTTCTATTCAGTTGTTCTAATCGTGAGCTTTGTTGTAAGAGCACCTGTAAGTTTCCAGCAGAAATGGATAAACTACCTGAGTAGCTCCCAAACCTTCTATGTGGAGAAGACACATCCTGGAAAATGAGCTCTCATTTTTGGTTACATTCACATCTCTGACATTGTAAAAGAGTTACAAATATCCCAGGCTGGAAAATATTTTATTGAGATTCACTTTTTTTTTTTTTCCTAAAAGACATGGTGTCAGCCAGGGATATAGTGTAGTGGCTCAATTCTTGTCTGGCAAGCATGAGGTCTTGAGTTCAATTCCCAGTGTCAAAAAATAAAAAAGATAGGGTCTCACTGACAGTTCAGGCTGGTTTTGAACTCACTAGGTAGCCCAGGCTGGCCTTGAACTCAGACCTGTCTACCTCAGCCTCCCCAGTGCGGGAACGACAGGCGTGAGCCATGATGCCTCGCTTGGGGAAGTGCCTTGCCGCCTCCTCTCCATTGCACAGGCACCCCAGAGATGCTGTTTCCCAGAAGTTACACAAGTTTTCAACCAAGTCAAGATACTCCGAGTTGTTTGGAAAGATCCAATATGCAAGATGTGAAGGATATTTGAAAGTTAAACTTTGGTCTTTTAAAACTTTTGGTCTTTTAATTTTCTAGTGTTTCATGCAGGGTTAGCTTCTAGAATTCTGAAGAAGTGTTGCTTTTAAGTAGGTTTTCAGGCTGTGATGGGCTAACTAATGTCAGCTTGTTACACACAGCTGAACTGAGCCAGCGCGGTGCTGGGGTGGGTGGCCCACCTGAGGGCTGTGGCAAACCGCAGGAACAGAGGAAGACGGTGTCAACTCAGCTGTTCTCATCGTCAGAGGAGCTCGGGATCTTGCTGTTGCTGAAAGTGGCTGCAGTTCTTGGGGGGCAGCTCTGATCCTTACCTTCCTGACTCCAGTGCAGATCCCTCAGCTGCTGGTGCGGATCCTTCATCCCGCTTCCATGGACTTTCTAGCTTCCACTACTGACCTTTGGGTCTTCCCAGCACCGATCCGTGAAGCAGGCCTGCGTGAGATATTGTCATGGGCTCTGGCCCTCCAGCTGGACTCATGGAGGGCCGTGCTTAGGTCTTCAGCTGGGCTCACTCAGGACGCTGCCATCCACGGGAGGCAGACCCTTAGCTGGACTCTGGCTCTCCAGGGTTGGACAGATCCCCTGCCCTGTTCTGCATTTGACTCTTTGCTTGAATATTTAAAATAATTTTATAAGTTGTGTATTGTGTGTTACGTCATTTCTTTTCTAAGCCAGGACTAGAACACAGGCCAGCTGTTTATGATTTTGAATAATAAGCTTGAGTTTTAGGTTATCAGATAAACAAAATTTCTCAGTGATTTAGCATATGTTCAAGCAAAGAAGAAACCTGAAATTTTAGGAAGATTCACACAATTTCAGGTCTTTACCTATTTGGTTCATGCAGACGGACATTTATGGATGCTGCTTATATACATTCATAACACATTCTTATCTAGATGAGTTTTTTTAAAAAACTAGATACTTCACAATTTCAATTTTTAGAGAAGAATGACATCTTGCTGGTGTGTAACCACTTGAGCGTATCAGCGGTGCTGCTGCTGGAGTACACGTTGGGCCAGCATTTGCCTCCCAGTGACTTAAAGTTCGTCGATTTCTCACGCTTGCTTATTCTTTCAGGCAAGTTGTTACTTCAGGATTTATCATCTCTGCCCTGGTCAGTATCTCTCTATGTATTCATCTTCCTTCTCAGTCTTTCCCTTCAGGTTTCTCAATGTTCACACGGCTAGCAGCATGGACTCTTGAAATGCAGCCGTGTCCCTCCTTTCGGGCTTCGAGTCAGCACTTTGCACATCGCCCGCTGGATATTGTTTCAATCATTAAAAATGTATAATCGGAAAGTTTTGTGCTGATGCCTGTTTTTTCTTTATAAGAGTCTTTTCTGGTGTTGTCTTGTACTCTGAATAACTACCTGGAGGATGATACGCTGTGCGTTAAGGAGCAGTGGCCATTTACATTGTCAATTTTTGTTTTATTGTTTTATAAAAAAATTACAATTTTTTAGAGACTTTCCTTCACACTCAAGTCCAATAAATCTAATTTTTCATGGTCACTTAAACTTGATATGATTATTATATCACTTCAAAGTGTGTACTAATTTACGTACATTCATAGTTAAAGTCTGGTGACAAGTGTTGTCCGTATTATGCCGGGAATTCTGAAAGAAGAGTGCTGTCATGAGCGGCCAAGTGCTAATGCCGCGTGATGCTAGGGTCAGTTACAGAGACTGGCTACTTTCAGCTTCCTTCCATTCTTAGAGACACGCACATTTTTCCTCTCAGCACTTCTCTAATAAACACCTTGAGTCTGTCGCAGTGCTTTATTTGAACCTGGTCCCAGTGCAGATGACATAGGGCAGGAAGTAAAGCCCGAGGACCAGGCGCAAGGCTGGGAGAGCAGTGTCGGTACTGCTGCCTGGCGGCTATGAATGCAAAACCGTCTTCATGATAGAATGCCGCCTACCTTTGATGCCTAGAATGAGGACAAGGGGATGCCTTAAGATGATGAAGTAGGTCACAGACTCTGTGGTGGCTGCGTGACTGTGTTTGTCCAGTTTGTGTTGCCATTGAGTTATCTGGTGCACAGTGAGGCATACCTTAAATAATGAGTGAAGCAGCATCAGGAGTTGGTAGAAGACAGAAATCACCAGAACTTAGGACGAGCTCGGAGCATACTGTCTTTTCCTCAGCAAGGATAATAAAATCTGGAAACAGCTGTTACTACGGATGAGAATTAGTGGGCAATGAGTGGGGAAACACGGTCCACCAAATGCAAAGATGTTCATTAACCACAGATTTGGATTATCGAAGAATGCTTGATAGAGCACTAAGATAGATGAGAGGGAGTAAAAGGGGATGAAGGTCCACACGGGGATGAGGATGCTTGAGTGGCTCTTGACTCTGGAGAGACTCGAGGGCCTCCTGGCACTGTGTATGCGCTGAACTTGCTTCTTGTGCTTCTGGAGAATGCTCACATTGAGCCCTTAGCTCAGGCTGGGAGACCCAGAAACAAACCATCGCTGAAGCAGAGCAAGAACAGGTTTATCAGAGTTGCAAGGGTGCCAGAAAGGCGCTCGAGCAGCGTCCTGAGTTCAGTGTCTAACATTTTTGTTGTTATGAGTGCCAGCTAGTCTCAAGATAATGATGACAGTTAGCGTCAGGTGTGCGAGCCAGCTGAGGGAACAGGAGGGACCAACAGACGTGGTGGCTCTAAGCTTCAGCTTCATCCCCCTGGTGCTGCCAGGGCTGACTGATTTCTTGGAAGCAACTTGGGAGGCAGGTGGAGTATAAGGAAAGTCCCTGAGAGGCTCAATGAAAACAGACCACGAGTTTACATCGAATGTGATCCACAAAATATTTCCATCCAAATTCTTGATTGTCTGAGGAATACCTCTTAAGATAATAGCCAAGGAGTTAGCAAAAGTCAAGAGCTTTGTAATCAGGTCTTCGGGCATCAAGTTTTCCCTGGTGAATACAGAGAAGAAATAATGAAATAGAAGTGAGGAATTGCCGAGAATGTCCACAGCTGTCTGGGAGAAGAAAATTCCCATGACCAAGTTCTCAGGAATCACTGTTTCCTTCTACAGAAAGAAACAAGTTATTAGTTCTCACAAGTTCAGAAGAGAAAATTGAAAGTATGCATTTATATTACATCAGAAATAAAATATTCACTTCTTTTATTTTTTTTTAATAAATGTTTTCCACTGTTATGATTTAGATGCATGTGACCACCGAAGTCTCGTGTGTGTTTGAAAAGTGAAGTCAATGTGCAATAGCGACCCCAGGAAGCTGGAGATTCCAGGAACCTGGAACATCTAGTCAGAAAGGGCACAGGCAGTGGGTACAGCCCAGGAGACAGCCTGGGGGCTGCAGCTGCCCAAGGGCTACAGCCAGCAGTGCTGCAGGGCTGGGGACCAAGACCCGTCTGCGTCTCACAACTCACCCATCATTCTCGCTGCATGCTGGATGTGGAACTTCAGGATTGAATGTTTGCCCTGCTGGGTTTTGCTCTGGATTTGGTCTACTTCTTCTCTATTTCTCATATCCCCTTTTGGAATTGGCATGTTTACTGTGTCCCATTGTATGTTCCAGATATTTAACTTTTAAAAAGATGTTCTACAGGGACTTTCAGCTGAGTTTTCCTTGAGCGCCAGAGGAGACTGTGGCCTTGGTTTTTTCAGTAATGCTGCAAATGTTAAGACATTGGTGATTCTTCAAGATGGATTAAACACATTCTTCATAAGGAGATGGGCATGAGTCTTTTGGGGGCCAGGGGCAGAATATTATGGTTTAGACATAAAATGCTCCCCAAGCCCTCATGTGTCCAGAAGATGACTGGCTCCTGGGGCAACAGCTGCACCAGCGTTTTCATCCAGCGGCGAGTTCCGAGCCAAATTGGCGTTAACAGCTTGGCCTGTTGGAAAGAGTGAGTGACCGGCGTGGCCCAGAGGGCACCTCTCCATCCCTGACTCCTGCCCTTCGCGCCCCCGGCTGTCCCGGGCGCAGCATCCCTTCTTCCGCCCTCTTTCTCTCGTGCCCCTCCACCATCCCGTTTCTGGCTTGGAATCAGCTGACCGCAGATCGAAAGTCTTAGCCCAAATGAAGCGCTTTACGTTGTGGGCGTCGGGGTTCTCTGCAGCGCTGAGGCGGTTCCTGAGACGCCCTCGGCATTCCCCAAGCACTTTTTTTTTTTTTTTTTACTATTTCTTTGTTCTCTTTGAACAATAAAAAACTTTAAAAGTGAACTTCAAATCTCCCAGCTTTAGAGAATATTCTCTGTATCCAATAATTATTTGTTTCTTTCTGCTATGTACAGCTTCTAAAGAAAAGATTTAAGAATTATACAGGTCTTAGGAAGGAGTAAGTTGCTGTATACATGACTTACACAGAGATATTGTAACAGTTTCCGATGCGTTTGTCTTCGAATATGCCGAGTGTGCACACTAAGGAGACACATTTGGAGATCATTGCACAGGTGGAAAACACCAGAATATCACGCAGCATGTGAGTTACAGTCGTACAGTTAGTTCAAAGAACCAGTTTTTTCTGCCTAAACACATGCTGAGATGATTGATTTTCCATAGATCTAACTTTGTAGGCAGCAATTTAGAGCTCTTTTTCCCCCCATAATTTTATTGAGAAACAGCAATGAGATAGTTTCAAATCAAATTGGTAGGACCGTTCCAAGAATTAACACATTGCATACATTCTTCCTAGTGGTTATTTGCTGTACAAGATGCAGACATGATATCCCATTTACAAACACTATTACAACAAATCCCTGTATTCATTTAAAGAATGTAACTATATATCCTTACCATTTTGAATACACAGATACAAAATGGACATTCATCTGTATCCCCTTTTCTTTTTTAGTTCCATTATTTGAATATGATAGGTGTGTAAACTCAGCAAAATATTCTAAAAGAGTCCAGTAGCCCATAATGGTATTGGGTCTTCCGCTTGACTGGCAGTGTCAGAAACTGTTGACCTGAGTCCCCTACAGCTCAACATAACAGTATGGCTTTACTTGATATATTTCATTTCTATGCTTTTCTGCTGGATGGTTAAGACCAAGGTAAAGCAGGACCTGTGCAACAAGAGGTGTAGCTGTTGGGTCTGATAAGGTCCGTGAAATCCCCTCAGGATTTATCCTGAGTTCCCAAGCATTTAGTGCTCATATTAATAAATATTTTATATTGATCTCATTGTACTTATTATTCAGTTTTACAGAAACTTAATGGCTGACACATTTATGCGCCAGTTTGAAAAGTTTTTTAAAAAATGTATTTAGGACAGGGCCTACAGGGTGTAGTCTCACTACGTAGATTGGACTTGTAGTGATTCTCCTGTTTTCAGCCTCCCAAGTGCTGGGATTACAGGTACGCACCAGCACATTCAGCCTTAATCACAGTCTCACCGCAACCAGGGCAAGACCGGCATGGCCTGCTAGGGATCGAACCTCGGCCACTGCGCCCTGCCTAAGCTGCAGC